CATTGTGAACTAGGGAAAATGAAGGCTTACGGACCGGTAAGCACGCCGACGCATGAATAAGTGAAAACTGCTTAAGCGAAATAGCTACGGAATCTGATCAGGCCCGTCCGCGGATTCTTCCTTTTCCTCCTCGTATTTCCCGTCTTCGTCTTCGTGCTCCTCCTCCTTCCTCGTCCTGTCCTTCCTCGTCCTCCTCGTCCTTTCGTCCTCCCCATTTCCCTCGTCTTGCTCGTCTTCCTGCTCTGCTTCTTCTTTCTCCTTCACTTTTACTCTTTGATTGCTTTGCTTAGGTCGCCCTGACTGGTTTTCACAGATGCCGTTCAATTTGCGTTACTCCGGCTTTCGGGTTTCGTGGGTTCCTTGCTGCATGCGCGGCACCATGGATTTGGCTTTGTTTTCACGTTTCGGTTTCGTTTTGAAGTTTCGGTTTCAGTAACCAAAACAATGTTTCAGTAACCAGCCCCACCCGTTTCAATAACCAAGACAAAACGATTCAGTAACCAACCCACCCGCTTCAGTAACCAAAACAAAACGCTTCAGTAACCAACCCCACCCGTTTCAGTAACCAATACAGTGGTTTCAGTACCCAAGACAATCGTTTCAGTCTCTCTTACTTGCCTGTTGGGAACCCTGGAGAGCATTGAGGTCTCCAGGCCTTTTAATTTTGCCTGGGGTTCCTTTCGTTACGCAAGATGGGACCCGAAGGGCTCCAGGCTGACCTCCGGGAGGGCCTCCTAGCTTCGGAAAGCCCCCACCCTCCGAAAGGTAACGCGTGAATATATCTTTCTGCGCGCCATGGCGCCCTCCGTGCCCACGGGAGCTATTGTTTCATATCTTCCCTCAACCCCATCCCCCTCGCCCTCTGCCAGTTTATCGCGGGCCCCGCTGGGGTCCAAGCAAAAGTGGGGTCGAATTGGAAAAACAATTTTTTTTTACCTTTCGAGCCCGCTTTTCGTTGCCGGGCCCCTGGGGGCCGTGTCGTTTCCCCGCCCCTGGTCTTTCCCACATCCTCATTGATTCCCGCCTGCTCCCACCAGATTCAAAACGGGCACACGAAACCAAAACCAATGTCAGTGAAACCGAAACCTGAAACGTCGAAACCAAAACCAATCAGCAAAACCGAAACCTCAAAACGAAACCGAAACCTGAGAGCGAAACCAAATCCCATGCTGCCGGCCGAACAAACATTATAGTACTGAGTGGTTGCTGGGGAACGCAAGCAAAAACCATGTAATTAGTCCCTTCGTCAGCACGGTGACAGGCGTAAGGACGCGAAATCACAATTCACTGACTCGGCGAGGGGTACTTTCGAACTTGCAACATCATTGGTGGGGCTTGTCAGGGATATTTTTTTGCAACGGGCGGTGGGGAAATCAGCTGTAGCTGAATTCGGGAAAGTGTCGGGGACTCAATTTGAACCAATTTGTCCATCCTGCTGGCTAATTTCCTCCTCGTCCGTCTCGCTGGAGACATCGTCGCTACACTGGGCTTCAAGGTGCAGCCCGCGATGCGATTCTGTTCAAGGTGCGGCCCGCGAGGTGACTCTGTCTGTTTCGCCTGCGACGACCCCTGCAATTATGTGCAAAGAGATGCCGCGTGCGAGGGGGTCCAACCAATTTCGCATGAAACGCCCCTACCTTCCGAGCAACCGTTGAGGAGTGCGAAGCGAAAGAGGACGGGGATGAGGAGGAGCAGGATGACTGAGGAGGAAGGAGGAAAGATCATGCTCGTATTGCTGTCAGACAGATACTCTTGACACTTCTCGTCGCCGGCGCCGGACGCGGCTCGATCGTGCCTGGCGATGCGGTCACGGGCCCGCTCGCGCCCCGGGATAATACAGTCTAAGGAAGTCCCAAGCGAGAGTACGATTCCGGAATAAAACGCGAGGAAGTCTCGGGCGGGAGCGGGGGTCCTGGCTAAACTGTGAGGAAGTCTCGGGCGGGAGTTGTTGTTGCTGTTGCTGTTGCTGTTGCTGAATAATTATTGTTGGGACCCCTGGTGCACGGCCCCCCTGCGCCGCCTAGGCCGCAGCTACATTTTCATCATTTTCGTGAGGAAGCCTCAGGTAATACGATGTCATCAAGATCCGGTTGTTTTGTTGTAATCCGTTTTCCCTTGCAAAAAACACTATAAAATGACATTTCTTGTTCTAATATAATCAAATTTCAAGAATCCCTTGCAAAAAATAAGGTAAAGTGGACATTCGCGCGCGCAAGACGAAATCCTTCCAAAAGCTTAGTGTTCGGAGCGATTTTAACATAAAAACATCAAAAAACCAATGGTTTTTCAACAAAAAAATGTCAAAATCTCATCCCGCGCGCTCTTGCGGATTCGTAGGAAACCCAACACTTTTTAAACATTTCTGTCAAACGGGCTTTTGCGAGCAACTTTTTCGAACTTCTGCGACAACGGTTGCGCACCTGCCAGGGCCATCATCCCTGTCAAATAATACCATGCGGGACACATTCGTTTTTTCTTCGCGCGCGCACGCCGAAATCTCCAAAAACCATTGGGCTTCTTAAGAATTTTAGCACCGCGCATCATAAAATCACACGAATCGCACCGTAGGTCCTCGAAAAACACCTGCACGACTTTTCAAAATTTCTACCCGCGCGCGCTGTCCGAATCCTAAAAAAACCAATGGTTTTCCAACATTTATGTTACATGAGCTCGCGCGAGCTACTTTCGCACGCTCTTGCAACGGGGTTCGCGCGCCTGCCAACAACTTCTGGGGCAACTTCTGTGGGTTAACAAGGCTTAACAACTTCTGTGGGTGTACGAACGTAGGCTTAACAACTTCTGTGGGTGTGTACTCCACGCCAGTGTAGTAGCCACGGTCGTCCGCAGGCCACGAAGTGAAGTGTCCGAACGTCATAGGGCGGGAAGCTGGGTGTGGGTGGTGGCGAAGAGTCGTGTGGATATTTGGTAGAGCTTGCACTGCCCCCCCACAAAGTGGGGGTATTGGCTGGCGTCGCATGAAAACCCTGGCACTGGTGAGAACACTGAGCGTTCGGGTAAAGTGATTGTTGTTGTTGTTGTCGTTGTTGTTGTAAATCGGGGGCCAACGACACAGCTTGACCCTCAAGACCCTCCCTGTAAAAAAACAGGGCGCGAGCCCCGAGAAGGGCACTTGCATCGGAAAAAAACACTGTGCACCGGACGGGGGGGATCCTGGAGGCTCGGGGGAGGGGGGGGGTCCAGGGACGAAGAACCACGAACGAACCACGAAAATAAAGGCTTCGGCGGCCCAGGGGAGCCTGGGAGGCTCGGGGGAGGGGGGGTCCAGGGACGACGAACCACGAACGAACCACGAAAATAAAGAGGTCCGAGCTCTAGAGCACAGCTGTGCAAGAGAATCATTCTTCAGAAGTCGACCCTCCACCCTCTCCGACGCGCCGCTGCGCTCCACGCTCTGCCCAAGACGCCCAAGAGGTGCCCCCCGCGCACTGCACCGCACCCCTTCCCTTGGGGAACGACGAGTGACCCAAACACAAAAACTCGGAGGTCCGCGCGGATTTCTCGGATCGGCGCTGGAACCCCCGTCGCGCGCCGGGGGCGGCGCCAGATGCGCCGCCAGGGGGCCCCAGCGCCGATGCGAGAAATCCGCGTGGACCTCCGAGTTTCTGTGTTTATGTCATTCTTCATTCCCCCATTCCTGCCGCCACTGGCCCCCTCACCCCGCCCATTCCCGACCCCCTCGCGCCGCCCGCCGCGAGTGGCCCGGCTGATTACCTGTGGGCGGATCCCGGCCCCCCGCTGTACGAGATGGCCCGGCTGCGCGCCTGCGCCCCCTCGACTGCCTGCGCCGCGTCGCCGCGCGCGTGGCCGCAACGCCAAAACGTGTTTATGTATGTGTATCTATACATTACCTATATGTGTATGTACACACACACATATATATATATATATATCTTTATATATATATATATATATATATATAGATGTATCCGTTACCGTGTCCCGAGGCACGAAGTGAAATTACCCCCAGGCTATCACGTGTTCTCTTTAAATCTGTACTCAGGACTGGGGGATTGTCATATTCTAGGGGCTGGGGCCGCAGATCTCCGAATTTCCTGGGCGCTCTCGTGCGCTCTCGGGCATCCCTGCATGACTTGTCCAGAGTCCAAGACAGCCCAAGAGCGCTCCAAGACGCCCAAGATGGCCCCATGAAGGCCCAAGAGGTCCCAAAGAAGCACCTGGAGCGCTCCAAGAGGACCCCCAAGAGGGCCCAAAGAGGCAAGAATCACTGACTTTCCTTGTGTTTTTCGCGTTACTTTTCGCGCTCTTGCGTTTTCGGGCTTCCGACGCTAAAGATGGCCACAGAGGCCCCCAAGACCGCCCCCATACGGCCCAAGAGGCCCCCAAGAGACCCAAGACGGTCCAAGAGGGCCCCAAAATGGCCCAAGAGGCGCCCAAAATCGCCCAAGAGGGCCCAAAGACGACCCAAGAGGCGTCAAAGAGGGGGAACACGAACCGACAATTCGAGCCTTCCGCCTCAAGAGGCCCTCAGGAGGCTCCAAGAGACCCCCAAGAGAGCCCAACAGGCCTCACGAGGCCCCCAAGAGGCCAAAAAAGAGACCCGAAGAGGCCCCCAGACGGCCCCCAAGAGGGCCTCCCACGATGTCCAAACGAACATCCAAAAGGCCTCTAGCCCACAACCCAGGCACAGTGACGGGATGGGCCGTAGGCCACCATGTATGTGTGTGTGTGTGTGTGTGTGTGTGTGTGTGTGTGTGTGCGTGTGTGTGTGTGTGTGTGTGTGTGTGTGTGTGTGTGTGTGTGTGTGTGTGTGTGTGCGTCTCTGTGTGTGTGTATGTGTGTGTGTGTGTGCCACTGGCGCTGTTCATCTGGACAGAGAATTGGCGGTGAGCCGGAGGGGAAGTCAGACGGGGCGGGCCTTCTCAAAAGGCTCGGAAGGCCTCTGGCCTTCTGAAAAGTTTCCTGAGCCTTCTCCGAAGACGCGCAACACTGGACTCAAACCACTTTCTTCTGAGAAGCCCCGCCGCCGCCTGAGAAGGCCTTCCCCTTCTCACTCCCCCCCGGGCGCGCCGCCGAGAGAAGCTCCTTACTAGAGGCTTCCTAGATGGGGACCGAGTAGATGGGGTCGGAGGATCGCACCGCATCGCCAATGCATCGCCGATGTATGACCGATGCATCGGCGATGCATCAGCGACGTCGGCGACGCATCGGCGCCGTCGGCGTGGGGAAACACGGTCTCCACATCGAGCCGCATCGTCGATGCATCGGCGATGCAGCGCGATCCTCTGACCCCATCTGCTCGGACCCCTCTTGAGAGGCCTGGAAGATGTCACCCCGGCGAAGGGCCGGTGATGTTTGCCCCAGGCTCGCTTGGCCTGAAGCGGGTTTCGGGTCAGTGACGCGGCTTCGGCTCGGGCGGGACTGTGCCGACCCCATCTGTCGGGAGCGGCAAAGAGGGGGGTGTCCAAGAGGGGGGGGTGCAAATCATGACCGGCGGCATGTGCGCGGCCAAGCGGGGGGGCCAGGGCCGTAATGAAATAAGAAGAGGCGCCATGAAATCTGAGGAAAAATCATGGCCCGCGCCATGAAATCCACCCCCCCTAGTCATCACCCCCCTCTTTTCCGCCCCCGAATCTGGGAGGCCTGGACTCGCACACGTGGTCGGCGCCCCTCCGGGGCCAGCTGCTGCCCGCCGAGAGCGGGGCCGGCGCGTCGCAGCGGCGCGCGCGGCGAGGCCCTCCGCTGCGGGGAGCGCCCGCGCGGTGGGCCCGCCCCGCCGCCGCCGTCGACAGCGGCTCGGGGCCCGTCAGTACTGCGGGGGCGCGAACTTCACGTGCATCGGCAGGGGCACGTCGAAGCATGCCGCCTGCGACGCGAAGCGGGCGGCGTGGGTATCCTTGATGTTGGTTGATCCGGGCAGGCCCATCGCCATCTGATCGTCCGCGGCGTCGGGGATGCTGAGCTCGTCGTCGTCCTCGTTGGTCGGCTTGTCTGACGGCGGCTCCACCAGGTTGTTCGGGTCTGCCCTGACCTGTTTTTTGGTCTGGAAGTTGTACCAGTACGGTGCTCCAGCTGTGTCGTAGAATATGTACCACGGAGTGAGCGGGTACGCCCTTTCCACGTGGTTCTGCATGATGCCCATCAGGCGGTCCAGATTGTTGGCGAACAGCTTCTTGCTGTAAGCAGCCTTGCGGAGACCGAACAGCGTGAAGTTCTGCCGAGCTGGAGACCTGCGCATCCTGGCGACGGCCTTCGTGCTCAACACCTCGTCAGTCTGGAAGCAGACGTACGAGGCCTCGCACTCGGGGAACTCCGCACAGAATGTCCTCTGCGGGAGACCAACGCAATGCTTCTGCCTCTTGCCGCGTGCGTGCGTCGTCTTGAAGCAATCGTAGCAGAAACTCTCGACGCAGTCCTGGCAGCGAACGTCGGCTGCTCTTGCCTCGCACTCGGCACAAACGGACTGCTCAAAGAAAACCAGGGGCACATCCTGTCTCTTGCCAGTGGAGTGAGTCTCGACAGCGGCCGCAGAGCAGAACACGTCGTGCGAGCCGGTGGATATCACGTCTGCGAGGGCCGTCTGCGTCTCGACGCAGTACAGCAACCCTGTCGGAGAAATCTTCTTCATGAAACCCACCCGATCGAGCTCCAGATTCACCATGAGGGACTCCACATCAATGCAGCTGTCTATTGTGAGGTTGGACATGCCGACCTCCTTCATGTGGAAGTACGCGTCCTCAATGGCGGTCTTGACCCTCGGGATCAGGAACGGCTCGTCCCCAGGGTTTACGTCCATGAGGTCCATGATCTCCTCGACCAGTCGGGGGGTGGTCACAACCCTGCAATCCTTCTCGCCGAGAATCGCTAGATAGACCAGATGCTTCACCCGGTAGTGGGGGTCCAACCGCTTCATCTTCAGCTCCAGCTCGGCGTGTATGAGCCTCTCCGCGAGCTTGCTGTGTGCCTCGACAATCGGGTGCCAGGAGCGCGCCTCCTGCGTGTGCATGCGCTGGCGGCTCAAGGATGGGGCCCTGTGCGCTGGGATGGGGCCCCGAGGACGAGAACCCTCAGATTAGCGAGGGTTCGGCCCGTGAACCACCTCTTGTCCTCAGGGGCCCCCATCCCCCCGGGCTCCACCTTCGAGCCGCCGAATGTAGACATACTCCAGGTCCCCGCCGTCGACGGCGCACGCGTAGCCCTCGTCCCGCAGCGCGATGAGGCAATCGCGGATCACCCAGCGGAAGTTTCGGCGGCAACTCATGGGAGCCCCCAGTACCATCTTGCTGGTTCTCGCGGATCGACTCTGCAGTGGAGGCAAGTCCACAAGAAACCTTCCACAAGAAACCCAACCCTGAGACCCCAAGACATCCATTGATTTTTGGTGTGGGAACGTCACGCTTTCCAGGGCACCCTGGAGGCAAGCAGGGTGTTTCTTGGCATGGGCCGCCACGGCGATCGATGCCAGTCGACGCGAATCGACGCTAAATCAACGCTGATCGACGCTGAGCGCTGTTTCATGGATTACTCGACGCGACTTGACGCTAGTCGCTGGAGCACTCTGAAGACGGAATTGCGAAGGCATACGCTGCGCCCAGGATTTGCCACCGAAGGAAGTCAGGGTACTTGTTCACGTCGAGCCCGAGCTTCCCCTCCATGGCCGCCACCACCTCCGGGGTGAAGGACAGCTCCTCCTTTGCCTGCGGGCGGGACTCGTAGCTGGAGCTGGGCCGCACCGGCAGCTTGATGAGCTGCGGGAGGTCCGGGTCCGAATAGGTGCGCTGCGTCCTCGGCTTGGGCACCGTGTCCGCCATGGCCGCAGCGGCTGGCCGGCTGCCCCGCGCTGCTGCCAAGCCTCACTCGGCGGCGGCGGCGTGCGCGCGCCCGCCTCGCCCCAGAGGAGGGGCCCGAAACGGGGCCCTCCCCCCCTTCGCCTGCTGAGGTCTTGAGCCAAGAGCGTCCACGGTCCGCCTCTCTGTGCCCGCCCCTGTCTCCGTCGCGTGCTCGGTGTCGGCCTCGGCCTCGTGTGGCGTCGTGCCCGCGTGCTGCGCCCGTGTGGACCTCCGAATCCGCCGCCGTGCCCCCGGCAGGCGGGGCGAAACTGGTGCTTGGGCCTCGCTGGGCCACTGCTGCACCTCAAGCTCCCCCTCACCGAACGACGCGCCGTGGTTCGGCATCTGGCAATGTACCACCACATCTGCCTGGGCTTGGCTGGGTTGCCTATGGGCAAGCATGCTCCATGGCTGCATGTAGGTCTGAGAATGCCTCCCCCGTGGTGGCCTGGACTTCTCTGGCTGACCTCCTCCCGTCCCCCCTTTGCTTTCCGCGCGCTGGTCGGTCCTGGAGGCTGAGATGCCATCCTCGCTGATACAGATGAGGTCCCATTTCGTTGCACGGGCCCTTGGAGCCCTCTCGGGCTACTGGGGCTCTCTTCCCCCCCCTCAGAGCTACGTGCATGGGCGACACGGGCAAAGGCCGAGAGGCGCGACTGGTGCTGCTGGGGAGATAGAGGGAAGGCGAAGGCTTAGCAGGGCAACGACGACGACGACGACGACTGGGGAGGAGGGGGAGGAGGAGGATGAGGAGGTCTCCTTCCTTCCCTTTCCCTGAAATCCGACGTCGCGAAAAATACAGCATCAAACAAAAACCACGACCAAATCCCTAGTCATCATGTTTCTGCAATAGTTCGGGAGCCGGATCGATCCGTGATGGCCCCGGGCCCGAAACCAAGCGAAAAGGCCCGGCGTGGAAAAAATGCAACGCGCGGATCTTAGAGGAGGAGGAGGAGGAGGCCTCCTGCACCCCCTCCTGCCTCTGGTGCAAACTCGCGCGCTTCTCCGAAAAGGGCAAATTGAGACAACGGCAACTCGAGATAATTCCCGGGCCCCCCCTCCCAGGGTCCAAAAGCATCAATCTCCCCAACTGCGTCCAGCCGTGGCGACGAGCAGCTCCCCGAAGCCCAGCTACCGTTGACCCAAATGGCCCTCCTCTGACTCCCACCTCCGATCAGGGCTCGCGCGCTTCTTTTCCTCCTGGTCCAAGCCGCCGCCAAGACTCGGCCGGGAGGGGCTCGACGTACATACCGCGTCGTTTGGTCGGCCACGGCGCTTGGGGTTTAGACGCTCGAGCTTCCCGACCGTGGTAGGCTGGAGCGTCTATACACCGAATTCCTCCGCCGAACTCCAGTTCCCTAACTGACCAAGCGACGTGATTCTCATATGGGGCCGGGGTATGAGGTCGCAAGATCCCACCACATCGTCGATGCATCGCCGATGCGTCGGCGATGTACCGGCGACGTGGGCAATGCATCGGCGACGTCCGCGTGGAGAAGAGCGGCCTCCACATCGGGCCGCATCGCCGATGCATTGGCGATGTGGCGCGAACCTCCGATCCATCCGATCAATCTTGCTCGGCCCCCATCTGGGAGGTCTAGATGTATTTATATGTTGATGTGTCTCTGAAACAAAAACATGTACATGTATACAAACATATATACATATATATATATATATGTCTATGTATTTGTATGTGTATTTGCATATGTATATGTATATGTATATGTATCCGCCAGCCCCCTTCAGGGGCGCAAAGCTGTGAAGGTGTGTGCGGTCTGCTATCATGTGTTATGTGTTGTCATTTGTTGCTTGACCTTCTGTTTTCAGTCTTGTTTCCTGTCTCCTGTGTCTGCTAAGGGGCCTCGCCGCGCCACCAAACGGCCAATGGGGGAGCCGAACCTCAAATCCTGGCTGCTCCGGGCCACCACAAGATTCTCATGGTGACACCACCGCGCGGCTAGAACAAACACAAATCACAAACACACACCCACATGTCACACACAATACACCCACAACAAGCAACACACACCGCATATCCGATACACATAAAACGCATGAGCCACACATAACCCACACACACAACACAACACACAACAAACAACAGACAAGACACATTACACACACACACACACACACCTTACACACCACACACGCAAACAACCCGTACGTCTTTTTGTTTTTGGGTTAAAGAAGAATTTAAACCCGGGCAGTCGTGCGTATACACACATATATACACATATATATGTATGCGTATTTATGTGTGTATATACGAGAGACTTTGATCCACCGCCGCTTTACTATGGAAAATCCCCCCTCTTCCTCTGGAGCCCGGGGGTCCCCCCCCTCCGAAAATCCCCCCCCTCCTGCTGGACCGCCCCCCCTGTCCTGTCCCCCCGGCAACTCCCCCCCCTAACTCCCCCCCCTCCGGAAAACCGGGGGGGAGCACTACTGGTTCGAACCCCCCCCCCCTCCAGAAAATCGAAGGGGTCACTACGGGTTCGAACCCCCCCCCCCCAGAAAACCAGAGAAGGATCACTACAGGTTCGAACCCCCCCCCTCCAGAAAACTGGGGGGGTCACTACCGGTTCGAACCCCCCACCCCATCCGGAAAACCGGGAGGGGGTGGTGGTCACTACCGGTTCGAACCCCTCCCCCCCCTCTCGAAAACCGAGGGGGGTTCCTACCGGTTCGAACCCCCACCCAGAAAACCAGAGAGGGGTCACTATACAGGTTCGACCCCCCCCCCTCCAGAAAACTGGGGGGGTCACTACCAGTTCGAACCCCCCCCCCCTCCTCCGGAAAACGGGGGGGGGGGGTCACTACCGGTTCGAACCCCTCCCCCCCTCCCCCTCGAAAACCGGAGGGGGTCAGGATACGGGTTCGAACCCCTCCCTCCCTTCCTCTCGAAAACCGGGGGGGGCCACTACCGGTTCGAACCCCTCCCCCCCTCCACGCTCACAGCCAGCACAAAACTCTGGGTCCCTACCACCGTCCGCACCACATCCCCCACTGCTGTCCACCACTGTCCTCACCACCGCTGTCCCCACTGTTCCCACCACCGTCACCACTGTCCTCACGAGTTCCCCCACCACTGTCGCACTGTCCCCACTGTCCCCACCACTGTTCCCACCACGGTTCCACTCTCCCCACTTTCTCCACGGCCACAACCATTGTCCCACTGTCCCCACTGTCCCACTGTCCCCGCCGCTGTCCTACTGAGCTGTCCCACTGTTCCCACCACTGTCCCCACCACTGTCCCTACTGTACCTCTGTCCCATTGTCCCACCGCCGTCCTCGCCACCGCCCTCACCACTGTCGCTACCACCAGTGTACCCTCTACTGTCCTACTTTTTCCACCACATTCCCACTGTCCCCACACCACTGTCCCCACCACCACTGTCCCACTATCCCCACTGTTCCCACCATTGTCCCAGCTGTCCCCACCAGTACCCCCCACCAGTGTCTCACTGTCCCCACTCTCCCCACCATTGTCCCACCACGGTCACACTCTCCCCACTTTCCCCACGGTCCCCACTACTGTCCCACTGTCCCCACTGTTCCCACCACCGTCCCACTGTCCCCGCCGCTGTCCCACTGTGCTAGCAGTGCTGTCCCACCGTCCCACTGTCCCCGTCACTGTCCCACTGTCCCCACTGTCCCCACCACTCTCCCCATTGTACTACTGTCCCACCACTGTCCCCACTGTCCCGCTGTCCCCTCACCACTGCCCCCACCACCACCGTCCCCACCACTGTCCGCACCACTGTCCCACTGTCCCCGCACCACTGTCCCCACAACCACCATTCCCACCACTGTCCCAACAGCCCCACCATTCTCCAACTGTACCGAGGAGCTGGCATCGTTTCGTTTGCCGGCGGCGAGAGGGGGGGGAAGGGGGGTTCGAACCGGCAGTGTCCCCCCCCTGGTTTTCGAGGGGTGGGGTTCAAACCGGTAGTGGCCCCCCCCTGGTTTTCGGGGGGGGGGGTCAAACCGGTAGTGACCTCCTTTCTTTTCATGATGGACTGGGGGGGGGGGTTCGAACCGGTAATGACCCCTCCGGCTTTCGAGGGGGGGGGAACGGGTTAGGAACCCCCCAATGACCCCCCCGCGGTTTTCCGCCAGCAGCGGTAGAACACGTTCTTTCATTTATATATATATATAGTTACACATGTATAAATGTGTATATATGGGTCCAATCCATTCAAGGTCTCCCCGCGCAATTTTCTTAATATCCACGTTTTCGTGCGGTTCTCCGGAAGACTCGTCCGTTCCAAATTCCATGAATCTTGAGGGGGCAGTCTCCGTCTCCAAACGGACACCCTGTACTCAACAACGTCCGTCTCCAAGACAACACCCAATACTCAACAGGTTCCCGCTGCAACAAGCTCTGGCAGGCGGCGGGCGAGCCCGCCGCCCGTCCGCTCGCCCGCCCGCCGCCCGCCCGCTTTCCGTGTAGCATGCACCACCGTGTACTCAACAGCCTCCGTCTCCAAAACAACAGCTTGTACTCAACAACCCCCGTCTCCAAGACAGGGCCCAATACTCAAACATCCTCCAACTGCGAAAGAAAATCTTAATGAATCCCACCAACCCTCTAGGCGTCGGTAGTTTAGGGCGTTTCCTCTTCCACCCCTCCCTCTTCCCCTTCGGGGAGGGGTTTACCCCTCCCCCTACCCCCTCCCCGTGGACCCGTACGGGAGGGGCGGGGAGGTGTCAGGGCGTCCAAAACGGCCTCGCGAGGAAGCCAAAATCATTGATGTTACTATGGTTTTGGCCTCATTTTGGCCTCCCGAGGGGGCAACCCTAATTGAAGCTCCCCTCTTCTTTGATCGATGTCCTCCAAGATGGCCCCAAGAAGCGCCCAGGAGGCCCCAAGAGGCCCCAAGATGGCCCTAAGAGGCCCCAAGAGGCCCCCAGGAGGCCCCCAAGAGGATCCTAAGCAGCCCAAAGAGGCCCCCCGAGGCACCCAAGACGCCGAAAAGCCCCTCAGGACGACCCTCTACTCGCCTGGGTGTCGTTTCTGGATGGGCTGGTGGGGATACTTTTTTCGGTCGCGGCCGCGAGCGAAGAGCGCACGCGGCGAACAGGGTGTCCGGGCCGACGGGCACGCCTAATTGAAGGGGCCCCAGGAC